CCACTTATTATCTCGCCGCTCTTCCACGAAATTTCCGGAACGCTTCCACAAACCACGGATTCACGGTTGTACCGAATCCTTCGTGTGTTCGCTGAACTCGCTGCGTGCAACGTGCAACGCCCACAAGCTCGGGGTATAGCTCGCTTCTTTTGGCCCGAATTTCGGGACACCATGGTGCTGCCGGCCGTTGCCTCATTGCTTGCACTCAGGAAACGCACGTACAGCGCCTAGACGCCGAGGCACCAACTCCGAACATGTAGCGGCGGTCGGCGAGACTGTTGAGATGAGCTGGCTCTTTTCTAGAGGTTTTGGGGTGGCTATTCGACTCGGGTGTAGTTTCAGGAGCTGTTCCGTGGTGCGTGCCCCCGTCGACGCGCGCAGTTTTTCTGCTGGCCACGTCACCCCCTCTGCCCACAATACTTCACGAGCACACATCATCAGCACAAGTCTAAGTCACCGAGAAGACATACACAACTATGCTACGCGGAACGACGAGTCGCTTGGCTCTGCGGCTAACCCCTGAATTCCGCCGCCAGCTCGCCACCGGGATGGTGATATCTTTCGACAATCATCAGCACCGCTTTCTGTCTTGTTCGTCCGAAGCTGCTGACGACGCGAACCGGCAACTCGGCGGAACAGTGAGGGCTACGCGGAGGGCATTCGCAACAAAGAAGGAGATCGGCAAGGGCTTGGAGGAGGAGGAGATTCGACCTGGAGATCGCTCTCAGGTATAGCGCTGCGCAGAAGAATAAGGAAAACGAAAGCTTAGACCAACCGCCAAACAATGCTCATTATCAACATCATTCACATCAAGCTCTGCTGGGGTAATTTTGTCTGCACGGTGTAAGTGCCGGAAGGAGGCGGTACTGCTGTCACGCCCAGGTGTGCCGGTATGGAGTCGACACAACATCTGGTGTGTGAATTTCAACTCAAGTGTGGTGCTCTTTAACATCGGGCAAACCCACAGGTTCACTCCACACAACATCTGGTGTGTGAATGTTAACTCAACTTTGGTGCTTTGTAACATCGGGCAAACCCACAGGTTCACTTCAGGGCGACGCCCACGAAACACCCGCTCGGCATGGGCTTGCCCAAGAACAGCAGCGGCGAGAAAGGGAAGAAGGAGAAGGAGTGGTCCATGCCTCACGGGATCTGGTCGGCCGAAGAGGTGAATAGCATTAAGGTGAGACGGAGAGAGGTCGGGAGACGGGGGAGAGGACCGATAGGCAGCAGACAGGAGGGACGACAAACGTTTGGCGAAATTCTATTCAGCAACTCTTGTGGCTGTATTGCGTCCCCAAACCTGAAAATCCAAACCTGTGAAAATTCAAAAATACAAAACAGAACCAAAAACACACCCACCCTAAACAGCAGTCGTGGCTCCGTTTTAAGAGGGTGGTGTGACAACGGCTCGATACCCTGCTCAATCGGAGCCCCCTCTTGTACCGGATTAAGAGAGAGTACTCCATTAGATTATACTTGTAGAGGGTCGAAGTCGCGACAACGGCTCGACACCCTGTTCAATCGGAGCCCCACCTTATAAGGTACCCTCATATGTCGGAGCCACGACTGCTGTACATAGATAGCTCTTCTGGAAGAGTGTTAGTCGTCATGTTTCGCGATGAGCCTTTTGCTGTGGCAACTGGCCGCTCTGCGAGGAAACGGAAACGAAACAACCAGAGCCTCTAACCAGCGACCTCCTCGGACATCGCACATTTGCCGAAACAGCCGACTCACAAGGACCCGGAGGAGGCCGTGGACCATATCGCGTTGCGCGGCGTGAGGGCTCTGCGCTGGTGCTTCGACGTGCTGGCCGGCTTCAAGACGGGCGTCATCGACGAGCACAAATGTGCGTCCACAACAGTACAGCTCAAATTCAGTTCTGAGTTCTTGCGGTCACGCAATCCACGAGTAAACCCGTCTAGAGCGGGTATGTAACGCCCTACATAGAGTGAACGCGGTGTGTGACCACCGTGTGTGCGTTACACACTTTCGCCTCATCACAGGGGTTTACGTTCGTTGGTTCCAAGCCCTTGTGGTTTTCGAGAGTAATCCCACCGTGGCCGTCATAACAATCCGGCTTGGCAGACCCGCCACCCACATGCATAACACCGGGGGGATACAATAAACCAAAATCACTTGTGCTTCCGATAGTCGATCAATCCCTTGCCTCTTTGCTCCTTGACTTCACTACCGCAGCCATCGAGTTGTTGTGAAGTGTATTTGCAAGAAACAACAGAGACCCCAGGCGAAAAAAAACTTGGCACCCAGCAAGGGTCAGGTCTGCGGGTCCCTGTCTTCTGCTGGCACGGTGTCTCGCGCTGGTCGGCAAAGCAGCCACAGCTTCGCCGTGGTGCGTGGAACCGAACGACCGACGGGGGCGGAACACGCCGCGTCTCTCCGGCTCTCCATGCACGACGGACAGCTCTGGCCGCCTTGTACTTCCGACGGGGACATCTGCTCCAGTCCGACACATGGCCGGCCACCGCAGTAGATAGGTCCTCGGGCGGGATGGGGGCAGCCGTAGTATCAAATGTCAGCAATGAGGTATGTGAAGAAAAACGAAACTGAGCTAGGTTCAACCAACACCCCCCTCTCCGAAACCTATGCGCGTGGTCCTACACGAGCCCGGGTGTCTTTTTGCCGCCGCTCTTCTTGCGAATGGTGCTCCCGCTTCCGGGCATGAAAGTGAAAACCGCAACCCTTCCCCGCTCAAAACACCCTTCCATACTCCGGACATTATGAGACCAAGACGGCATGTTCTCAGGCGACACCGGTGGTGCGCGATAATGTTTCATGCAGTCAAACCTTGACAGATCAGTGCTTCTGAATAGGGTTAGCATCCCGAGCTCGACGACCTTCCGTGTGACCTACTGACGCGTACAAGACGCCTCCCACCAGAGCGGTCGGTCGCCACACCCCAACCTCAAGTGGTCTCTCTCTCACGCGCGCGCGCGCCATTGATACCGATCTCTGTGGCCTCTCCAGCAGACGAAAACCTCGAATCCCCACCACCCCCCCACCCCGGGCCGGCGAAAACCCGACATTCTGCTCTTTCCCGGCGTTGTAGAGATGCAAGGCCAATGGCTTCACGACTACGGCATTCATTTGCATGAGTTTACCCCTCCTGCTCGTCGTACCCGTCGTCATCTGCATCGTTCGCGTTTTCCTGTCCCTTCGTGTTCAACTGTGGCCCCCCACCCCTCCCGTTCTTGGCGCGCCCGTCGTCATCTGTATCGCTTGGTTTCTCCTCCAATCATGTTGACCCTTGTTTGTTTTCTCGTGTGTAACAGACCTGAACCGCGTCATCTTCCTCGAGACGGTGGCGGGCATCCCCGGAATGGTCGCGGGCACGCTCCGGCACCTCACGTCCCTCCGCCGCATGCGCAGGTACAGCGTGCTGTCGTGTGTGCGGATACTCGAACTGCCTGTTTGTGTGTTGTCATTGCGCCTTGTGTGTATTTCGCGTGGACCCCCGGCTGACAAATCGGAAGTAGCAAGGCAGCTCCACACAGAAGAAATCGACGTCCCAGCAGGGAGTACGTTGTTTGATGATTCGACGGGACCCCTGACCGCGGAGAAGGCTGGCCACCACAGCTCGAGTTTGTCCCGGGGGTCAAAACGTACTGATCGCTCACCGAAGGTGTCGCCCAACTTTGTTTACTCTCTTCCACGCGTTTTATGTTTTTAGCCACCCATTAGTCTCGACGGCGAATAGCGGGTTGTTTTTTGAAGGCGAATCTTCTGTGACTGTGCCTACGCAAAGATAGTCAGGTTGCACAAAAGAATACCAGGCAGGGGGCGCGCAGACGGTAACCCTACCCCCAACCCCAACCCCAATCCGATTCTATATTTGATTCAAAATGCGTGCTCTGCTAATTTCTTTTACTACTGTGCGTGCTGCTGGCACCTCACACCGGCAAATGTGCGCGGCAGGGACCACGGGTGGATCCACACGCTGCTGGAAGAGGCCGAGAACGAGCGGATGCACCTGCTGACCTTCCTCAAGCTCAAGCAGCCCGGCCCCGTCTTCCGTTTCGCGGTGATGATCTCCCAGGGGGTCATGTACAACGCCTTCTTCTTGTCGTACCTCATCAGCCCCAAGGCTTGCCATCGCTTCGTGGGCTACATCGAGGAGGAGGCCGTGCACACCTACACGGTGGTGAGGGGTCGTTCCCACATCCGTTGGGGTAGGAGCTGCCGATGGCCAATCGTTCTTTCCTACGTTGCCAAAGGTGGCTCAATGTTCTTTTCCCTATCTCATGTATCCGGAGGAGGATCAGGGGTGTTTGACTCGCCGATCCTTGTGTTGTAACGGATGCGTATGGTGCCCATTCTCAACAACCTCGTCCATGCTTGTACCACGTGGAATGCGCTTGTGTGTGTCGAACATCAAACCCACCGTCAACACAAGCGCACGAATCGCTGTCTCTCATCCACAGCTGCTGGAGGACATCGACGCCAACAAGCTCCCTCTGTTCAGCAACCTGCCTGCGCCGGCCATGGCCAAGAGCTACTGGAAGCTAGGGGACGACGCCATGTTCCGGGACCTAGTGTTGGCTGTTAGGTAAACAATAGCCTACCTCGATAGCGGGACATAGCTGATGGAACCAGGTGCCACAGAGGACCATGTGCACTATTAGCTGATTCTACACACCATTTAAGTTTCCCCTGGCGCGTGTGTCACGAGGACGAATGCCGCACAGTACAGTAGTGCCGCATGGCGTGCCGTGTTGGTTCTGTTCCCTTCCCTCACGGACATCTTCACTCCAAGCAGAAAAGTTTGCCTTGCTGGTGCTGTTGGTGCTACTACTGGTTGTGGTTGTGGACGCTTAAAGCCTTATGCCGCTGCTATTTCCCTGCGTCGCGCTGTGCCCTTCTTTTTCGTCGAAAAGGGCGGATGAGGCCAACCACTGCGTCGTCAACCACACCTTCGCTGACATGCACCAGGAGTTCAAAGAGGATGCGGTGAGCTACAAACATGCAACCAACGCCCATCCCCCGCTCCCCGCTCTTGCGATTGGTGCCCTCCCCTTGCTGGTCTCTCCCCTTTTGTCTTGTTTCGACCAGGCAAACCAATGCGGAACCGAGCCTTCGGCGTACGGGTCGCCTTTCGTTCATTGGATCATCTCTCTTTTGTTTGCTGCCTTGAAAGCGTTGGAGGAGGAGCGCCCTGTACGAATCATTCTTCTTACCGTGTTGCCCTTCCGGCAGGAAACCCCCGCCCGAGGCAGCCTCTACCATGGACGTTCCCTCCGCGTTAGCCTCATCTTTTCCACTCGTCTACGTTCCCAACATGCATCACTGGTATGGTATGTCTTGTCCCCAGGTCTTATGTTCTCAACGTCTGTCGCTCGTGGCATACACTATGCTTTATCCGCACAGGTCAACCCTTTTAGCATCCACGCGAACGTTACCAAGTACGCGGATGTCGGCGTAACGCCGCCGACGGTGGCGGACATGACCAGCGGCAACGCCGACGACATCGCGGCCGGCAACGCTAACGGCAGGAGCGCAGACGTTAACCCCGCTTCCTCGCAGCCGCAGCCACAGAAGCCTCACCCTTAGACGGGAAGCGCCTAATAGCGAGCTTCTTTCTCGAATGAGTATCCCCCGCGCACCGGCAGCAGCCGCAAAAGCCGGAACCTCAGGGGGGGGGGTGCCTATAAGGTAGCAAAGCCCACGCATTTTTACCACGGCAGCCAGCTGCAACAGCGGGGAGATTTTACGCGTAACGGCTCGAAAACGCGCCAGTGGTCGAGAAGGACGGATTTTTTGCTCGTAACTGCTGCGAAAGGACGTCGCTACTGGCAGAGAGTAGGGTGGCTAGACCGTATGCTCTGTTTGACTAGCTGGAGCACTAGGTGAGATGGGCCTGGCATTTTGGTCGTGCAGCCAGGCTCGTCGGGCATGTACTAACTAGGAGTGTTGTGTATCCCGTCAGAAAATCCATCAGAAAGTGCGAGTGGCAGATGTGTTGCTTGTACGTGTGCACCTGTTATAGGCAGCGAGTTGGTTCTGTGCAACTTCGCAAAGCGTGTTGAAAAAAAGTCGGTTCTGTGCTACGCTTCCACCGCCGCAATGGCCCCAAAAAATCGCGGCCATGTACCGCATAACACTGCCCCGGACAGAGAAGAGCATTCGTCTTCGGGTCAACAGAAAAAAGAAAGCAAACGCAGATGGATGTGGCAAGTCTCAGAAGACGGTCCTCACAAACCCAAACGGGACGATGTTCGCGCGTGCGCGCGCAACCCACGCCTGTCATTGGCTGGTTTATGGGGGTCCCGCCATCTCCGCGCGGTGTCGTCGCCGTCATCTCTCACGCTCGCCGGCAGTAGGGCCGCTCGCACGCGCCGCGGCAGAAATTGACGACGCAGCCTGTCTCGACGAACTCGAGCACCTGCTGCTCGGCGTCCGGGTCGTGGCGGACGCACATGTGCACCCAGCCCCACGGCGGCGGGGTGTCGTCGTCGGGTACCTGAGTGCCACCATGACCGGAGAAACGGGAGAGGAAGGACAAGGGTGAGGAATAAGATCGCATTCAATCGGCGCGAAGAACGTTATCTCTTAACTCTTGATCAATCGGAAAACCACAAAAAAGTATATCTGGTCGTGGTGAGGACGAATTAAGATTGATGAGTGCTACCAAGGACGGTCGTGAAGAACGGCTTGCGCAAGAACGGGGAAACGTGAGAAGCACAAAGATACACGATTGCTCACAACATCGGGGGTAAATAACGCCACATCTAAATTGGCCAACACCACAACAAAAGTGTACATACGATGCCTAACCACACAGCAGGGAATCTTCTCAACACCGGATACTCGCAAAACGTTGCCGGAAATTTGCCAACAGCTTGGCAGGGGGGCGTACTCAAGCTTTGCATGCCTGAGAGGTTAGACGATTGACAGCTTGGAGGAGGGGGGTTTTCAGTCAACGAAGAAGCTCACCTCCTCAGCTTCTCGTCGGTAGTCGTACAGAGCCAGCGAAGCAGCAAAAGAAGTGGCATCGTTGTCGCACGACGAAGTGTTGCCGGGGGCGGCGGGGGCGGCCGCTGGAACACCCCAGGTGGGAACGGCTACGGGCGAGACCGCGGTGGCCTGGTAAGCTCGCGCCAGGATCTCCGTACCGATGACGCTCACCTTTAGGTGGCGGACGACCCGAAACGACCGTTACAAACAAGGGGAGTTTTGTTATGGCGGTACTACAAGTGAGCTACGCACTCTAGAGTTTAAGGACTATTTTGGGAGCACGGTCTGACTTGTGTAGTGGGCACAGCGTGTGTTTCAAGCCTATGAAACGACACGAATGATGCTCTGATAACGGCTACAAAATTGCGCGACACATCTGGTGAACTACATACAGTAGTGGTTGATAGGAGGTCGGGTACCCGGAATGATGGTGGTGAAATAGCGTGACACAGATGGAATACGTTCTACGTCTAGTTCTGTGTTCAATTGGAACCGCCACAGGCAACCAACGCAAAACCACGATGTTCCGGGAATGCGCCTTAGCTACCGACCAGAACAACTCTAGACATGGAAAAAGAGTCGTCTTCGTCGAATCTCGAGAGGCGTAAGCATCGGAGGCACCTACCTCTGCGTCGCCGGTGCCCGCCTGCATCAGCACAGCCTTGTTTCGCGCAAATCTCTCGTTGCCGTCGTCATCGCCGCCATCGGTGGCTGCCGCCGCCGCCGCTGCTGCCGAATCCGAAGCCAGCCAGGCCGCCGCTTCCAAGCGATCCCAGGACATCTGCGAGTAAGGTAGATTTGTTTTATGTAACGAAGATGGAATTGTTCCTCCATGGGGTTCTGTGTGGGAGATCAAAATGTAACTGGGTATCGTCAAGATATGCTGTAATTGATAACTCACGAAACACCAGATGAGTGAAACAAGAAAAACATATACTCATCCAACGATCGGCAGTATCGAAACACAGCAGCAATCCTAAAAAAATACACAAACGTGCACCCTCTCCTGCGCTTGCCTCGCTTATCCGGCCGCTCCGCAACATAGAAATTTCATATTTTATTTTCCGTGTGAGACGGGGGTGGGGAGGGAGTCCACTATAATAGCCCTGCGCACGCACAACAAACGAAATGTACACACGCATTAAAAAAAACGAGCGCAAAAAAAACAAAGTCATAATCACAACCACAAAGATGTCAACACTAACAAAGAACGTGAACACCACTAGGATAAACAACAACACCCATGGACACTCAAAGGGAACAAACACGGCACACTCACAGAGCACTCGCATCAACGCACACCAAACGCCAGCACGAACGCATACCCTAACCAACGTGCGGATATGTGCGTGTCTTTTCGTCCTATTTACTATGGCGACAGTCCCCCCATTTTTCGTGGTGAGACGTGTAATACATTTTTCAGCGAATGTAGAGTACTACACTTTTCAGTGTATTTTTTCGTAAAACTACAACCATCCAGGGTCACACAGGAGGGGGTAAACACCAGGGCTGTTTACTTTTTACTATTTCTTTTCATGCCCCACCTTCCTCCTGCGGTGCGCGCTGAATTTCATTTTTGTCGCGAGAAGGGTCCAGCCGTCCCTTTCCCTCGTCAACGGTGCTAACGTCGAAGTTTGGTACCCACGAGAGCTTGTCAGCTATATATTTCGCTTTCACCCGCACATTTCGTAAAATTTTTACCCCATGGGGATTCGAACTCACGACCTCTGCGACTAGCGGATTACGAGGATACCACTAGACCACCGGGGCGACCGGTGCCAACGCGATATGCATACGCACGAAGCACGAGACTCACGCACACATACCTGCAGCAGCGACAACAGCAGACGAACGTCCCGCGAGCTGGGCACGTTGAGCTTGAGCAGCTCGTGGTAGGCCGCGAAGTCGACCGACCTCGGCATCAGAAGAGAGAAAGGAGTGCCGCCCGATCCCAGCACCGACCTCCGTATCTGTCGCCAAGGCGTCGCGATGCGGACCGTAGGCGAACGTGAGCAGGGACGGGGAAGGGGGGAGGGGGTAGAAGGAAAAAAATTGCCGTGCGAGGAGAGAGGAAGGAGCACCTTGCAAGGGCGACAAATACGCACGCGGTTTGTCCTCCCCTCCCCCCACCGGCATAGCTGTTTAAAAAGAAAAGAAAACGCCTCCTCACGGAGGAGAAGAGCTCCGTGAAGCCGTTTAACGAACCAAACGCCTCCTTTCACCAAGGAGGAGAGCTCCGTGAGCCGTTTCAAAAAGAAAAAAAAGAAGCGTCTCCTCACGAAGGAGAAGAACTCTGTGTAGCCGTTTAACAAACCAAACGCCTCCTCTCACCAAGGAGGAGAACTCCATGTAGCCGTTCCAAAATAAAGACGCCTCCTCTCATCAAGGAAGACAACTCCTTTTAGTCGTTTAACAAACAAACGCCTCCTCTCACCAAGGAGACCTCCGTGTAGACGTCTTAAAAAAACGCCTCCTCTCACCAAGGAGGAGAACTCCGTGTAGCCGGCACCCAGGATCGCCCCCTGCGATATCCCGTAGAACGCCAGGGGCACCGCCCGCGCCTCCTCCTCCGACAGCGCGGTCGCGCGGTCTCCGAGGAAGTCTCCCAGGTGCCGTGACACCAGGGTGAGCGCGGCCTCTTGGTTCACGAAGCCCTGGTTTTTCAAGGCGTCGCGGTTTTTTCGACGCCGTGCTTCACTGTCGTGTGGGAGAGTGTTGTTGTTCAGCATCTCGACTGCTGTTCTACAAACTATGTAGCTGCTGTCCGACAAGCAAACCAAGCTGTCGATCGAGAGGCCGTACAGCACGAAGTTTTGCGGGAGGAACCCGTTCTCTATTGGATCTACTGGTCTTCCTGACGATCCCTTCCGTATGGTATTTCCCGCTCTCCCCCCAACAGAATAGACACCCGCGGAGACTGAGGTCTTTCCATTGGTCAGTCGGTGAGTGCGGTCGACGCTAACAACAAAACACACAACACACACACCAGAGGAATTTTGTGTTTTTCGCCCCACTGAGACTGACGCCTTTTCATCGGTAAGTCGGTTAGCGCCGTCGATGCTAATAACAAAAACATAAACACAACAGTGATCTTGTCTAGCACACCTGCATTAGGTCCTCCGGCGTTCCCGAAAGCAGCAGCTCCGGCGCCGACACCAGCGCCCGTGCCACCACGGCAAGGTCGATGCGCGACATCCCCCTCCAGTCGGCGGCGACCAGGACCCAGGCCCCCCTCTCCGCCATCAAGTCGAGGAAGCCGTCTTCCACCTCGGCGCGGTCGCCGAACAGCCCGTGGCCGTACTGCACGAGAGCGGCCGGCCGCTTCCGCCCGAGGGCCACGCAGCGCGGGACTCTGACGACGAACCCTACCTCGAGGGTGGCGCCGGCAGATGCGGCGGCGCCATTGCTGTTGGTGGTGGTGGTGGTTATGGTTGTGGCGGTTGCGGAAGGCGTTGTCTCTAGGCCGGTGCCGCGAGAGGACGGGGACGTGAACGCCGGGGCCCGCAGCCTTCCCCACACCGTCCGCACGATCGCGGGGTGCTCGGCGTTAAACCCCCCGCCGTCGTCGTCGCCGTCGCTGCTGTAGTCGGCGGACTCCTCCACCGACACCACCCGGTACAACGCCGCCGCCGCCGCCGGCTGCTCCACGTCCGACGTCACGCGCCGCCGCCGGCCTCCTCCTCTATCACTACCGCCCCCCTCGCTACCACTACAACCTCCTCTGTCTCCGTCCCGATGCCCGACGACCCCTGCCGGAATGCCGCCGCTGACGTCAACAATCTCCCGAAGATGCCGCGGCGGCGTCGCCGATGTCGGTCCCGTCGACGTTAAAGCAGCCTCCAGCCAGGCCTTCGAGGCCTCCCTCATCGACCGCAGCACGCTGAGCTGGCCCCCCTCTGAGGCGGTCACGAAGTCCCACGCCAGCTGCACGTCACCCAAGCCTGCGCCCACCAGCCCTTCCCCTTCCCCCCACCCTTCCCCCGCAACCGTCGCCGCCGTCCCTGCTAGTCTTCGTCTTGCTCTTCTTCCTCCGGGGGCAGCGCCGCTTCCGCTCCCTTCACCGCCGTCGCCGCCGCCGCCGCCGCTGCCGCTGCCGCTGCCGCTGGAGGAAAGCGGAGAGTCGGACGGCCGTAACACCGAGCCACCATCGCCGTCGTCCGCAACCCCACCGGAAAGGGCTCGCGCAGAGCCGCCGGCACTCAAGCCGCCCAGCCCGGTGTTTCTGAGGGTCGGAAATATCTCCCTCGAGAACCGGTCTGCCCGGCGGCGGAGGTCGGGGTGTATCTTCGTCGTCCTGTCCGCCTGCGACGCCTGTATGGGTCGTGTTTTTGGTGGGGGGGGTTGGGGCGGGGTTGATTGGAACACGGCCTGCCCACGGGGGTGTTGTGGCGAGGAAGAGAACACGGTCTTCCAATTTTTCACAGATCTCTCACTCCTCTCTCTCCGTGAGAGAGATGTTTTGTTAGATGGCACACACCGGTGGTGCTGAATAGGTGCGCGCACCGCAGTACTGCTGCTGTGGATTAGGGGTATACCGGTAAAGGTCTCGGACGTCTTTTTTTGTCTCTCTCATGTGTTGATACACGATAAACGACGGGGCTGTTCCACCGCACCTTCACCTTCACCCGGAGTCCAGCATCACCATCTGAAAATACCAAACGTAGTCCAGCCACCACCAGAAGCGCGGTCTACGAACACATGCACGAAGCATGTGCCTGCTCTCTGTGCAGGTAGCTCTTTAACGAAAACCACGCACATGAAACCATCAGTCATCTATTCAGGGACGTTGACGACCAACCCCCTCCCCCCCCCCCCCCCC